GGCATCACTGCTGAGTTATGTCAGCTATGTGATTACATGGAATCCTTAAGGCAATCTAATAAAATTGGTGCTGCTTTTATTTCTATTGAATACTCGAGGGAAACAAGTGTTTAAGAGGTAAAGTGATTTAAGGTCACACTGGTGGTAAACAGAAAAAAAAAAGGCATTTTTTTTACACACTTATGTCTAATGATGGTGATGTCGTTTTTTGGAGTTGTTGGGTTTGGAGAGTGGAGTCCTTGGGTTCAATCTGGGAAAGATTTCACCAGAGCTCCCCTTTCAGGGCTCCCGGCGACTTTCCCAATGACACGGAATCATTAGTTCTATCCAAAAGGGCAGGCTTATTATAAAAGGGAGAGAAGAATAAAGACACTTGCATAGACACGAGTGGGCAGGAAGAGCTGCCTGGAAAGGGTCAGGTTTGCCGAGAGAGGCCTGCATGGTTGCAGGTGGGTGGCCTTGAGGAGAGCTGCCCCTGCTGAGGGAGGTCAGTGAGGAGAAGCCCTGGCAAGGTCACAGGTCACGGGCAGGCAGGAAGGCCGCTGGCCTGCAGAGGGACAGAGTTGGTAAAAAGAGCTCCTCAAAAGCACAAGTGGGCAGAAGGATTGCTGCCCGTAGCAGTGCAGAGACTGCACTGAGACAGTCTACTCTTTGGGAGGGGCTCACTCCTTCACGGAGTGTTTTGTTTGTTGTTGACTTTGCATAAATTATGTAGAATTTGAAAAGGGCCAGAATTCTACAATGGCCCTCAATCTCCATATCTTCACTTTCAGGTCTGCACTCCTGACATTCCCTAAAGCAGTCTGATACCTGCTTGTGTCTTATGCTTTGTGCTCTAGGCATTGGCGCCTAAGGATCTTAGCTCCTATAGCTGGGTCAATGGCTATGTTAATCCCTTCTACCGCACACCCAGCTCTTGGCATTGTGTGAGCCAGGTTTCTGATCTTGTGGAGCCTCTTTTCCAGCTTTTCTATCCTGATCCTCCATCCATGGCACAGCATTTATGAACATATATTTGACAGCCCCTTTAAACACTTACGGAAAATGGTATCATCTACTGCTTGTCCTCCCTGGGCCAGTGGTCATGTGGGGGTGGGGGGAAGTCAGGAGGAGGGTTCACCCTATAGAAGATTTGGAAATTTCTAGGGATTTTGTTTGGTTTTGTTGTAGAGCAGCCCTGATACAAAACGGGGTGCCTGACTGTGGGTCCTCACCCGCGCGGTTAAAAGGACTTGTCAATGCTCTACTGCAGGCACACGCGAAAGGTTAATAAAGGTTTATTTACAAGGGAAGGGGAAATGAGGAAATGTACAGCTCAGGAAGAAAAGTGGGAGACAAAGTTTTAAATGAGTCCTACCCGATCCGCCGATCAGGAATCCCAAAATGGCACTCTGAGAGCTGGCCGCCAGCCAGGAGCCGTGAAGCCAGGAGGCGAGGGACAGCGAGCCACCCCAAGGCCCACGTGTTTGGTTTTTATACCCAACCTGGCTGCTTAACTCCACCTTCAGGTCCCAGCCACCTTCCCTTTGGTGGTGATGGTATTTATCTTTCCCAATGTCTTGATGGCTTTAGTCTGGACTGGGAGTGGAGTCCACAAAGCCTGTATGGGATTAGCTCAGGACATCATTTCTCCCTAACAGTTTTTCTAGTGTGTAACCTTAGGATTGACATATGAAATGTATTTGTACAAGCTATAATTATATTTCATGACTCTGGGTAATTAGGATATTTAAAAAATATATGTAGGAACATATTATCATTAAATAATAAGCATCCAAAGTATCTGTGATTTAAGGGGATGCGGGCTCAGGGCTGCTGCCCTAGTGGACCAGCAGGATCAGCATCCTCTGGGAATCTGCTGCACTAGATTTCTCCAGCCCCATACTAGTGGTCTGGAGCAGAAGCCCTGAAGGGTGAGCTCAGCAGTGTGTATAAGCAAGGTTTCCAGGAGATTCTGAATGCTTACATTTGCTTAGACTAATGCCATCTACAGCCACCTATTGCCAAATAGCATAAGGGGTTATGCTTTCTGAAATGCAGTCTTTTACACCCATACACTGCTAAGGATTTCTTGGACTCTTAGATCTTGAAAGTGAACTAGTCATCTGGTTAAACACCATGGACCTGGGAAATGCAAGCTTATCCATCACAGCATTCTCTTTCAGTGCTCACACTGTAAATATCTATTCCCCAGCACAGGTCTTTATCCATGTGTGCTAAATTGTTACTATCTGCAGGGATTTTGGGTGTGTGGAGATTGTAACAAGGAATATGGAATTATTGCTTATCCCAATTATTTATAAATCCACCCAACATTTAGAAGGGGCTTTGTTACAGGGCAACCCAGCTCTAAAATGGATCCTTTCCCCCTAACAGCTTCACAAACATAAGCAATTACAGTATTCCACACCCCTTAACAAAGACGAGTGCTTGGTTAACTAAGAATTGCTGAAGGTTGAATGATCAGGGAGCTGCCCAGCAGCACTGGGGAAAGGAGCAGAACTGGAGGGGTGGAGGTAGCTGTAAAGCCAAAAGGGGAGAGCTGTTGAGGAAGGAAAGGGAAGAAAGATTCAAGAGGTAAACTATCAGGAAGAGAGGCACAAAGGGGCATCCTATATGGGTCAGACGCACACTCACTCAGTTTTAAATAGTAATATTGCTGGTTAACTGTCCCTCAGGATCTGTGGAACAGTAGTATATTAGGTCTTCCATGGATGACAGAAATTTGCAACAGACAAAAAAATTAAGGACTTGAGTTTGGTATTTTAAAAAAGCCCTCAGACTTCTTTTCTTTGCAATGCCAATAAATTCTGAAACTTAAAAATTAAGTGTATTTTAATGTGTTTAAAAGCAATAAAAAAACTATGGGGTTTTACTTTGCAAAATAGGATAAAATTATATAATCTGACTAAAACTAAAGGGTAGAATATTTTCACTGTGAGTGAATACTTAAACATTGATATTCAATAAAATTAAATGACTTAGAGAAGTCTTTCCTCTTCAAAATATCACATTTGTACACACACTGAAAAAAGTATGAGATAGCAATGATACTGTCTTTAAAGGGAGAAAATCAGTCTTCCTATAGACTGAATAGATACAATGACAAGTACAGTTATTTCTACCTAAAATGGTGGATGAGGGCCTCCCTGGTGGCACAAGGGGTTATGCGCAGCACTATGAAGCTATCCACAGCCACTGCAGCATGAGTTCGATCCCCGGCCAGGGAGCTGCCCACCTGGATGGCGCAGCAGACCTCTCCTGTCTCACCTGCTGCTCCCCTCAGCAGTGTATTTCAGTAGATCTGCCTGTTCTGCTCCCCAATCTGTCTCTGGTGAATCCTCTTGTTACAGGGCAGGGAGAGGGGCAGCCCAAACCCTGCAAACCTGCCTATTCTAAATGGGTTCTGCCACCCGCCGCATCGACACAAAACATATGAGACTTTAATGGGAAGGAACTTTAATAAAACTAGGAAACATTACAGGAAAGGCAAAGAATCTAGTTTCTAAACGAAGCACCCAAAGTTACCCGTCCCCTCGTGGGTAAAAGTCCACCCAAATGGGATTGGCCCAGAGCAAGGCCCCAAAGCCTGCCACGAGTCTAAAGCATCTTCCAGTGGGGACCCACAGAAAAGGGTCAGAAACAACCAGACAAGCCCAGAAGGAAAAGAGCAAAATCAAAATAAAGATAAAAGTTGCCATTGTCACCTCCCCACGGGTCTCACCCACATCTATGTCACCCAGTCCACGACCAAAAGGCAAGCACAGTTTCTTCACGTCTCTCCATTCCATGTGCCTCCTCCAGGTCTCCTCCTGGCTCTCCATCCTGCTTCCTCCTTCCTCAGTCTCCTCTGTAGCTTCTTTTCTCCCTGCTCAGCTCCACCCTCCCTTGGATGGGGCAGGAAACCTGGAAACTCCCCCTTTCCTGGGGACCACCCTGTTACACTCTCACCCCCCACACCTCTGGCCTATACCAATTCTTGTATGTATAAATAAATAAATCTTTGAAAGAATAAAAATAACAAAATGGTGGATGACGCTATAATTTATACAGGACACACCCTAATTAAGGTTGCTTAAAAAACCAATAAACAGATATAATGGAGACCATCTTTAATTTTTTTAAGATTTAAAAATTTTATCACCTTACTTATTTTTCCTGGAGGAATAAGAAAATTTCTTTTGGTAATAACCAGATCACTTTACCAAATAATCTACATCACTTTCTAACAATTTAGGAAGATGTCTTTTCTGTATCTAACATTTTAATAATTTCCTAGTTAAAAAGTGTAACAATGAACCACTGCAGTCTGTACTTGCCTTGTGACAGCATACTGGAAGCGCTTGTTAGTAAAGGTTCAGACAGTGAGACATGACTGCCACCACGTGGATAGTAAGATTATGGGACTCAAAGCCAAATAAACCTACTGATTCAGTAAGAGAATGACCATCCTTTATTCTGAAAGACAATGAAAACAATACTGCACAAGTAGTTTGGTCTCCTATGAGTTATATTATTTTAAATTCATTAATGTGCAGTTCCATTTTGGCACCAACAGTTGGGCACTAATACAGTGTTAACTAGCAAAATGCCAATTACAGAAATTATCTACAGCCTTGTTACTTAAAGTATGTCCCTCAGACCAGTAGCGTAAGTTTTACCTGAGAGCTTGAGTAGAATCGGGGCCCATCTCATGTGTGTCCAGAATCTGAATCAGCATTTTGACAAGATGCCATGGGGACTCCATACCCTGCAGGTTGAGAACTTATCACAGCTGGATCCTAGTGCCTTGCCACCTCCCGCTTCTGCACTCCCCTCCCTATGCAGGACCTGATGACTTTAGCAAATCGCCAAGAGAGTTAAAAACGTAATTTATCTTACTTCAATTACCGTATTAACTTGGACGTTCCCTTTGCAAGTATAGAAATCTATTTTATCTATTTGCTTAAACTAATGGGTTAATTTCACAATTCCGAGAAAAAATTGAAACAACTTTTCCAGAAAAAGGGGCTTGTTTACTTCCAGGAGAAATTAGAGTATTTTATTTTGCCCAATCAGAGCCCTTCAGCATAAAGAGACATTCATATACATATATATGAACATTATCCAGAAACATTAATTTATAATACATTTTTAAAATACCAGCTTAACGGTATTTATTTACAAAAATATTTCATTACCTAATTTTAAACCTTTTGCTGTGATGACAGTTTGTAAAGTACAGGAATGCAAAATAACTACAAAGTTCAACACATTTTCAGTGTTTGCAATAGTGCTTTTTGTTTTGTTTTTGTTTTAAATGAAACAGTACACAGATTTTTTTTTAACCGTATTTAAAATGCATATTCCAGTAATTACCGATGAGATCGTTACTGGACTAAGTTTTAAAAAAATGTGCAGCAACTGAAAACTACCTGCATCTACAGTTTAAGGTATACACAAGCTAAAGTTCTACACCAAGCATGCTTGCTCCCAATGTGGACAATGTTAGAAAAACTTAATCTTGCTCTTTTGCATATTGTTCCTGGTGATGCATTCACAATGAACCAATAGTATTAACTAGAAAGCAAAATGTTTTCCTGCTTCTAACTACCATGTTAGCACACCTAAAGACTCACAGTACTATTTACAAAAAAAATAAAAAATTTAAAACATGATTTACCCTCTTTGCATTGCTTTCCATGGGTGTCTGTTTTCAACTTCCTTACATTGTATTCTGTTGAAGTTTAAACACAAAAAACAGCAAAAATATAAAAAAGTGAAACTTCTAAATAAATGATTCCACTGACATTAGCCTATACCCATTTGAGCCAAATAACCTACAATGAGTTAATACTGATTTATTTACATCTCACACACCATGAAATTTTAAAACATGAGCCGCACTGCAAAACACTGGCAAGACCAACATTCATGATTTTTCTGATGTAGAGTAAAACAAAAGAAGCACTTACATGTAGCTGTGGACTACTGTAATCACTTTGTCAATGAATTGTGCCAAATAATTAAAGATTGATATGCTAACTGAAAAAGGGAATGTTATAATCCTGATCACTGGGATGTCAGTAAGACCAATTAATTTAGCTTAATTCTGCTAAAGGTAGATTAAAGGTAGGTTAAAGTTTTTCCTCCAATTTTTGTTGTTCTTGCACAACTATTTTCTGTTCACAGAACATTTACTTCTGTGGTAGTAAAGATCATGAACATCCACAGGAAAATAAATCCCTGTAGCACTTTACAAGAAATGAAACAGTGTTGAGAACAAATTAACAAAAGCTGTAAACAGTATTATCACATTCATTTTCAAATGAGAAAAATAATTTATGGGTCTAAATTTCAATTCAAGAGAACATTCAAAAAGAAAAAGAACAAAGGGAGGACATTTAAGACAGAGGATTGTTCTTTTTTCCAAAGTAAATACAGATTAAAAAGTCTAGGAATATTGATCAAGTAGCAAACTGATAAGGAACAAATTCTATAAACTACAAAATAAAAACCTTCATTGACAAAAATACATAAACTCTGTTTTCATTTTTGGAAATTTATTTTTAAAAAAGGTAGAAGAAAATACCTGGAAAACTATTTTAAATATATATATATATATATTTAAAACAATAGTTAAGGTAGGCATCCAACAGCAAGCTGCAACTATTGAGAAAAATCTTGCAATTAATGTGGGCATAGTCCCCAAAATAAATTTAATATTTGAAAACGCTGAATAGAGGGTTCTTTTAAACTATAGTAATGATATCCTCCTGTCACGTGTGAAGACTTTTGAATGATGTATTTTTTTAAATTAACTGTATCTCGATATGAGATACCAATATTTCTTATTATAAGCATAAAACAATTTTTTGTATGGATAATATACATACTTTTTAAGTACTTCGACTTAAACTTAACAAGTTCACCATATTTAAAATTAAATACATTTATAAAAATCCCATTTTAAAACTAAAAGTATATTCTCTAGCAGTATGTATAAATATAACATGTTACTGTATGATCTTAAAACAAATCTGAAAGTGTCACAATAATTTAAGACTTAGAACACTGAAACAGACAGCAAATGATTTAATATTTTATCTTTGAAAACTATATAAAACCCTCTTTAAGGTTTTAAAACTGATCAGTTTAATTGTTTAAGGTACAGCTAGCAGCATATTTATGATTTTGGTGTTTTATACATATGCATCACTTGAACTGAGAAATGTGGATTAAATAATAAAGTTTTCTTTACCTAAAAAAGTGCAGAAAAAATTCAAGTTTAAAGTTCAGTGCTCTTTATTTTGCAAAAACCAACAAAATCCTGAAAGTTAAAATGTAAAATAAATCTTTGCCACGAAAAATTTTGCCTTTGGATATAGCTTTTCTAGTCACATGACAAATGCCTTAAGCAGAACATGTATGGAATACAGAATTCAGGGTAAAACTTTGAACTCCACATCTTCCACGTGTTTTTTTCTCTCCCAAGCTGCCTTTCCACCACTCCCTGTAACCTAAAAGTATGTAACACTTTCAGACTTGTTTAAAACACCCATAGATCTACATGAAATAACTTCAGAAGAACCTATAATTAAGAAGTTCTAAGCTAAAAAAATGCTTCTTTCTTTAAAGCACTGTGCTTAAATTGTACTGTCCTACACATATCATAACAGACAAGTAGCAGCATTTTTTCACATCCATAAAAACGTAAAAGTCAATACTAGCTCAGTTATATCTTTAACCGTTTCTGGAAAACACTTTGTACAAATGAGATGCAAACCAAGGAGATTAAGATGACGAATCCAAAGGACGCAATGTACAGAATTTGTCGCAATGTCAGATTTCAAACAACTTTCTAAGCAAATCACTTATGGCTTTTCATTTGAAGAATGAAATGAACTTGGTGCCTGCTAAATAAAGGGAAACAACTTCCTACTGACAAACAGCTAAAATCAGTGAATACGTCAATGATTTTAGGCCCAAAGACCAAAATGACAAAGAATAATGTTTGAGGATATGAAGGAAGCACACAGAAATCTTTTCTTTTTCTGATACTTTCTGAATTTTTTTGGTTTGCTTTCCTGAAATCTTGGCTTGCTGGTGACTTATTAACTTTTCTGTTTAAAAAGAAAAAAAATAGAGATGTTATCTTTGAAAGATTACAATAAATTCCCTGGGTTATTACTGCAGACTGTCTCTTTATCTACAGACTGAATCAAGTATAATTCCAAGAAGCTTATTTCCTATTCTCAAAAATAGTTCAAGCTTTCTTATCCTAAGTATGTTTCTATTTTGTGCATAATTTGCAGGTTAATTTAAAAAGGAAACTAAATAACTCAAAGTATTGATTTAAGACTTTCTTAGAAAATCCATCTCAGTTAAATGCATCTATTTCTCTATTTGAAAATAATTACAAGACTGGTTCATTTTATATACAATAGAAAAAATGACAGTAAAAATGATGTTGATATACAATTAACACAAAAATAGCCTCAGCGAATTAAATAAATGGAGCAAATACGCCCTTCTACATGAATGGGGAATTGACCAGTATGTTATTTACTTAGTGCATCTCAACTTCAAATCCTAACTGCTGATGTTATTGATGACTTCCACAAACTGTACCTTTAAAAAAAGGGTCTAATACTTCCTGTGACATACCATGGAACAATGGATTTACTAGATGACACAAATTAAGCAATTTATAAATTGCTGAATGTTCATACAGTGACTTTAATTGAAGAGAAGTGGTATTCATAGGTACTTCCTACAAATTAAAAACTTTGAAAACATATTTCTTTTGATTTAACAAATATTTGACAAACAAATATTTCTTTTGATTTAATTATCTCTATTACATATATTTTGTCCCTTTCAATGACATTTAAAGTAAATTTTAATGTAAACTTTATTCTCCTGTAGTGCACATTATAAAATGTAAACATAAAAACTTTATTAATGAAAAGATTACAGAGGAAAAGATGCATTACAAACTGCAATGAAATTAGGGTGTTCTAGCTCTCTAATATACCATTAATGATCATATGGAAGGGAAAAACAACATGTTTCCTATCAATTTGTGCTCTGATTATCTCATGAATAAAGAAAACAGCTTTAAACAACTTTTATAGAAGAAATTATTTAAATTTCATTGATATTAATTGTAATGCTTCAACTTTGCTCTTCTCTTGTTGCATTAAGATTAATAATCATCTCAGATGAGCCTGCATTATGAGGTACTTACTTCCAGGTCTACCAACGCCTGTCTGCAACGCTAGTCTAGGAACCCGTCATCCATTATCCATTGATGGTGTCGCTTGCATTATACGCCAATACAGAAAAACTTTAGTTATCAAAATGTACATATTTTTCTTTTCTTTTGACTTTTATACAGGACATATACAGATTTATTATTTCTACAGAAAATATTTTGTAGGTCATCAGACTAGACTCTTACATAGATAATTATTGACAACAGATGCTTGTAATTTTCCATGCGACAGCATGTGCACTAAGATTTAATTGACTCATCACCTGAGTGTACTGGAACTGTTAGCGAATAAAGGGCATTTAAAAAGGGAGCTGAGCAATTACTGAAATAATGAAACAATTATTTTAGCAATTTTAATCAAATAATGCAAAGGTACATTTGGTTAAACATTTTATAAAAATTCAAGCAAAATTGAAAACAGCCAATTTCAACATTTCTACAAATTTAACCAGTAACTGTTTTGGTCAAATCCACCTTTCGCTGAATTAATGAGGACAAAGTACACTGAAATATTCTCCTCACCACAATGGAGGTTTTTCTCACTTTCCACACTTCATAGCCACTACATGGAAACTTCCAGGAAGATGAGCAGTTCAGTCATGCTCTACACTTTTCTTTTCAATGAAAAGTGATGTATCACCTTGTTTTGCTTTTGACAAAATACGGACTAAACACAAGTATACAATAACAAGAATCCAAGAATAGCCCATACACAAGTCAACTATGTGTATGTTTTTATTATTTAAAGCCCACCATTCAACTTATCTGTCTAAAGATATGGTAACCAACAGTTTCTTTTTCACTAATGATACTGATGACCAGTCAGTTTAAGGGAGGGTTAAGTCCAAGACAGCTGCTTATAATTCAGTCAATGCCACGGACAACTGTTTCAGTTGCAGATTTCTGACTTATTGCCTCTCCCTGAAAAAGGTCAAACACTGATGGCAGATACGACAGCACAGAATCTTTTGGCATATGAAAGCTTTATATGGGAATGATCCAGGAATAGTCCCTGCCACGCCTCCTCAATGTCCCTCTGTTTCTTCATCTGTAATGCGTGAGCTGCTTAGTTCCTGAACTGTCACCTCAGAGCAGGCACACATCATGAGTGAGCTCCAGTGAGTGTCTGACACTGCTCGGTTAAAGCCACCACATGACTGAGGTAAAACAGTGCATGATTGTGCTAGGAAAGAACAGTATCCAGTGATGAATATCCTTTATGTTAACTTTCCTAAATTGAATCAATAAAATAAAAAAGGAAAAAAAAATTTTCCTTCAGGCTGAAGAGGGACTTAGTTGTATTTCTGGTCATCAGAACTGGTACCACTTCTTATCTTTGTATTTCAACATCATCTAAACAAGAGAAACACAAAAAACATGGTTTGAAAATACCAGACAACTATATTTATATAAGTGGTGTCTATATTTTTCTAATTCATTACATCATTCTGAAACAGTATGCATGTTGCTTACTTCAAATCCATCTACACTGAAAGCAGTGACTGAGGACAGTGTACTGGGGTCCAATGGATGATAGTGGAGGAATAGAGAGCCCTGGTTGTGGCTCTGGCAAAATAAATCTGAAGCAGGATCACCCCACACCTCTTAATCAGATATAGTGCTGTATACCAATGTTACCTCGTTTAAAAACAACTACTACTACTCCATTCAGAGGAAAAAAAAGATCAAAACGATTAAGAACTGCCTACGTGGTTTTTACATTTCTTAGAGATGTGACATAATGAAATTTTAGTTCATTGTACTCTTTGGTGACCTAAGTTAATAATCTACTAATGAGATAAATTTCAGCTAATTTTAACTAAAAACAATGCTTAAGAATCTGGGGAAAGAAAGATTGAAAATTCTACTACTACTGCCATCCAGAATTTACCGAGCACTTGCTCTGAAGTCAGGCACTATATCTATCAATGACACTCTATCCTACAAGATCTCAGCTGGTTCTCATAATAACTCTATGGTATACATGTTATTATTCTCTGCATTTTATAAATGAAGAAACTGAGGCTTATAGGGGACACCCAAGGTAACACAAGGATATGAATAGTCACAGTCTGAATGAAGAACCTATGATTGTAACCACTTCAGGATATTGTCTTCCTTAGACTTTCAAATATGGCTCAAGAACTGGTATAAGGGAAAAGCTATCAATTTGAAATTGAGCTCTTTGCTAAATACTTTAGATTGCAGCTATATCCTGAAATTGCTGAAATGTCACATGCTTTAGCAATCAGCAGCAGTTATAGTGTTATGCCGACAAAAATATCACTAGTGGGCCTCCCTGGTGGTGCAGTGGTTGAGCGCTGTGCTGCGAAGCTGCTTGCAGCCTCTGCAGCGCCAGTTCGATCCCCAGCCGCCAGCGAAGGTCCCACATGGCGCGGAGACCTCTCCTGTTGCCTGCTGCTCCCCTCAGCAGTGTACTTTGTCAGTCTGCCTGTTCTGCTCCCTGCTCTGGCTCTGGTGAATTCTCTCACCCTCCCGCGCTTCTGACTGTGCCCAGTGCTTGTATAAATAAATAAATAAATCTTTAAAAAAAAGAATTAAAAAAAAATATCACTAGCCTATATCTCAGGCATGTATTAATCTAGTACTTGCAGAGGATCTCAAACTCTGAAATCCCAGATAAGTATCTCCCAGGTCAGGTTACCTCTTTAATGGATTTATTCTCAAGCAAGGACAAAGTGAATTTTGACTGAAAGAGTTAAAGAAGAGCTATTACAGATAAACTGGGTATTCCAAAATAAAATAAACTTAATATGGATTCTTCAAATAACAGATCCAAAGTGTCCTCAGGGAAGGCTTGGAACTACATGTGTGAAACAGGAGCCTAGTGTAAAGCATAAAGCCAACAGCAGATCTTTATGAAGAATGGGTATTCTATTTAGCTGCTTAAGTATATATGCGGAAAATAAAGCATCTTTGTAAAAGGACAAGGTAGGGGTCCTGACTTTATAACATCTGTTTTTAAGCTTCATCATTACTTCCTAGTTCATCAAGATGAATCTGTTGCAAAAAAATGTATCTTGCAACTATTCCTCTGTATGAATTGGTCCACAGAGTTAGTATCATTTATTTGAATAAAAATATTTGCCAATTTTAGTTACCTAGATCTACCTAAAGAATCAAGAGAGGTATATTTTTCCTTTGCTAGGCGAAGCTGACAGTAGAATCTGAGGCATTTAGGGAAAAATTAGATGTGTTACTGCATTCCTTAAGAAATAGATGTAGGGCCTCCCCTGGTGGCGCAGTGGTTGAGCACTGGGCTGCGAGGCTGCCTGCAGCCTCTGCAGAGCTGGTTCCTTCCCCAGCCGCTGGTGAGGGTCCCACCAAAAAAAAAAAAAAAAAAAAAAAAAAAATAGATGCAGTTGCTGGTTTTGTTACAGATTCTTTCAAAATGTACAAATCTCTTCATGTAATGTTTCCCCCTGGTGGCAAAAATCAGGAATTTGTACCAAGGGTACAGAAAACTCCCATGTAGAAATACAGTACCTACACATATACAACAATTTTTATAGTTGCTTTACTTAGGGTTTATTTTTTAATATTTCTTTTGTGGCCATACCTCATGAGCATGTTTAGAAAATGAGTCTGCACTGGATAACATAGCTGCGGTTCTTTCTTCCAGGTCACTAAGCTTCTGCCCTCTTTCATCTAGTGCCAGCCTGGCTCGTGCTAGTTCACCAACAACTCCAGAGGCTGCTCCTTTCACACCTTCAATGCCTCCAGGGCCTGGGATATGCTGTGCAAGACTCCTTGAAGCCTTTCCAGAGGCGGATTCTCCAACTGAATGGATTTGATAAAGATTAACTCAAAAAATGAAAATTTTATTAAAATAAAATCTGACATCTTAATATTAAAACACAATTTTTAGATTTTATGATAATATAATTAAAATATTTCACACTTTGAGATTAATACAATCTTTACTTTTATTATGATGGTTTTAATTTTAGATACTTTCTTAAACATGCAAAAACACAACACACAACAGTAAGTATTCCATGCCATACTAGTTCTGATAGCAGGACTTGTGCAAAAAAGAGGCTGGTAATTATTTGTGAAATGTATTAAAGAGCATGCTGATACCAATTTACATAACAGTAAACATTACTCTTAAATATACAAAAAAAAGTTATCTTAAAGATATTTAAAATTACGACAGAAAGATCTAATTTAATTATCTATTTAAATTAATTTCCTTCATGCTATCTCTGACTTAAAAAATACTATGCCTAAGCAAGAAATAAAGGGAAATGAAGAATTTATTGAGTATTCTCTTTCAGTCTCTAGAAGTTGTAGATGTTACATTCCTGTATTTCTCCCATTTATCTAGTCAGTTATCAAATAGATCAAAATTTCCCTTCAAAAGATCTCAGGAAATCATCACTTCCTTTCCTATAATCCTGATTACCTAACACCTACAGTACCACAAAAGTCTTAAGTCCTATTAAAGACTGATGCTTCCCTCAGCATACAGCATTGCCATATAAATCTTAGGAACAGCCTGTTCCTGTCTGTAAAAAACTAGCTGGGATTTTGACAGGGATTGTATTGAATATGTGTAGATCAATTTGGAGAGTGTTGCCATTTTGATTTTAAGTCTTCCTTCCAATCAATGAACATGGCATGTTGATTCTTTTATTTATTTTTAAATAAATTTAAATGACATTTAAACTTTAATTGACATTTTCACATTTTTAGTAAATTCTTTATACTTCTATTTTTCAGTTATTCCTATTTTTTTTGATGTTATTATAAATGGAATTGTTCTCTTAATTTTTCAGATTGTTCACTGCTAGGGTTATAGAGAGATGCAACTGATTATATCGATCTTGTATCCAATGTTCTTGCTGAACTTGTTCATTGGTTATAATGGTTTTTCTTTTATTCCTTTAGATTTTCTATATAAAAGATTATGTCATGGGCCTCCCCTGGTGGCACGGGCGGTTGAGCGCCGCGCTGTGAAGCTGTCGGCAGCTTCTGCAGTGACGGTTCAATCCTGGCTGGCCAGCGAGGGTCCCACATGGCAAAGCAGACCTCTCCTGTCTTGCCCGCTGCTCCCCTCAGCAGTGTATTTCATCAGTCTGCCTGTTCTGTTCCCCACCCTGTCTCTGGTGAAGCCTCTCACCCTCCTGTGCATCTGGCCTGTACCCTGGTTCTTGTATGAATAAATGAATAAACCTTAAAAAAAAATTATGTCATCTTCTCCCATTCCAATCTACATGCTGTTTATTTCCTTTGCTTGCTGAATTGCTCTAGTCAGGACCTCTATAACTACAAATAGAATCATTAACAAAATTAAATAGAATCAGTAACAAAATTTTGGGGGGGGGGACTTTGATAAGGACTTAAAAGTTTATGTATATGTTTATACACATACACACAAACATACATGCATATTGCAGTGTTGGGAGAACTAATATCTTTTATTGAACCTTCTTCTGTATGAATGTGGTATATCCCTTGATTTATAGTAGTCCCAACCAAAATCTGTGATTTCAGTTACCTGTGATCAACTGCTTCCAAAAATATTATATATACTATTTTGAGAGACCACAGTCATCTTTTACTGTATGTTGTCATAACTGTTCTTTTTATTATTACTCTGCTAATTTACTATTGTTGTTAATCTGTTACTGTGCTGTATTTATAAATTAAACTTTGTCATAGGTATACAGGAAAAAAATATCATCTAGACATACACATAGATAATGTATATGTGGTTTAGTAGTACCTGTGGTTTCAGACATATGCTGGGGGTCATGGAATGTATCCCCCACAGAAAAGGGGGGGAGTATTCTATCAGGGACTGTGATTTCTTCCAAGAGATTTATAATTTTCTATTTTCCCCATGGAATTTCTATATATCCATTTAGTCTAGTCTGATGATCTCTGTCTTTTAAGTGGAACATTTATGAGACTAACACACACTACTTACTGTGGTAACGAGGCACCTTTAACTGGAACATTTAATTCTATCAAGTCCATTTACCCTTTTGTACCCTTGATTTATGTGATTTTTTTTTATTTGTGTGTATGTATGGTTATGTGACTTTGTTTTACAGTTTATAGGATTGTAATCATTATAATGAAGCATATATTTATAACTTTCTTTCCGAGTCATTGTTTCCTATATATATTTTTTTTTAAATAATAAATTTTATTTTTATATTCCCCCATACAATTGCAAACGCCCCATTCTGACCCCAATCCTTCCCCTCCTGCCCCCCCACCCCCCAAAAAGTGTCTCTGGTTCATAGTTTTTTGTTCATTTTGATTTTCACTTTCTTATATTCATTTTCCTGGTCCCTTATTTAAGTTTTCTAGATTCCTGCTATGAGTGAGACCATCCGGTATTTTTCTTTTTCTTTTTGGCTTATTTCGCTGAGCATGATCCCTTCCAGCGCCATCCATGTTGCTGCAAATTGCATGTGTTTATCTTTTTTGAATGCTGAGTAATATTCCATGGTATATATGTACCACATCTTCTTGATCCAGTCATCTATTTTTGGGCATTTGGGTTGTTTCCAAAGCTTAGCTATTGTAAACAGTGCTGCTATAAACATAGGGGTGCAGGTGCTCTTTGGAATTGATGTTTCTGTGTCCTTTGGGTAAATACCTAGGAGTGGGATTGCTGGATCATATGGAAGCTCTATGTTTAGTAGGTCCAGAAATCTCCACACAGCTCTCCATAGTGGTTGGACCAGTTTGCACTCCCACCAACAGTGCAGAAGAGTTCCTTTTTCTCCACACCCTCGCCAACATTTGTTATTGCTAGTTTTTTTAATATGTGCCATTCTCACTGGTGTGAGATGGTATCTCATGGTAGTTTTGATTTGCATTTCCCTGATTACAAGTGATGTTGAACATTTTTTCATATGTCTGTTGGCCATTTGCATTTCCTCTTCAGAGAAGTTTCTTTTTAGCTCTTCTGCCCATTTTTTGACTGGATTATTTTCTTTGTTGTTGCTGAGTCTCATCAGCTCTTTACAGATTTTTGTGATCAGTCCTTTATCATTAGTGTTGGGTGCAAAAATTGATAGTGCATCAAGATTATCTTGCCTCTATCTAAAAGTACATCCTTTTGCGTTCCCCTCAGTTTGGTGACAAGGCTTATTTATCGTTCATTTGTATAACCATGGCTCATTTAAAAAAAAAGTCATATTTAATATTTTTTGCATCATTGTTAATTTTTGTACAATGTTTGATTTCTCCTCTCAGGTGTTGTGATGTGGTGTCCCCATAAAATTCCCACCAACAAGACACCCGTGAACTTTCACCATAGACTCCTGTGCTCTTTCCTCCCTTATTTTGATCCCTTTCCCTCCCCCGCCCCTGCTGAATATCTCCAAGTTATAGTTTGCATGCTGGTTTTGTCTTTTTTTTTTTTTCCTGATCCCTTGTATGGTTTCCCTATGTTCCTCTTATAAGTGAAACCATCTGTTATTTTTCTTTTACTTTCTGAGTTAATTCACTAACATAATCACTTCCAGCTCCAGCCATATCATTGCAAATGGCATAAATTTATCTTTTTTGATAGCTGAGCAGTACTCCATTGTGTAAACAGACTATATCTTCTTGATATAAATAGACTATATCTTCTTGATCCAATCATCTGTTTTAGGGCATTTAGGTTGTTTTCATATTTTAACTATTGTCAACAGTGCTGCAATGACCATAGGGGTGCAGGTTTCCTTTTGAATTAATGTTTTTGTGTCCCTTGGAGTAGATCCCTTGGAGTGATCCCTTGGAGTGAAATTGCTGGGTCAAATGGTAGCTACATTTTTAGTAGTCTGAGGAACCTCCACACAGCTTTCCATAGTGGTTGGACCAGTCTGCACTCCCACCAGCAATTAAGGAGGGTTCCTTTTTCTCCATACCCCCATATTTGTTGTTAGTTTTTATAAAATGGGCCATTTTACCTGTGTGTAGTGATTCTCTCATTGGGGTTTTGATTTGTATTTCCCTGATTATATGTGATGTTGAACATTTGTTTATGTGCCTGTTGGCCATCTGCATGTTCTCTTTGGAGAAGTCTCTTTTTAGCTCTTCTCCCCACTTTTTGACTAGATTCTTTATTTTGTTTTTGTTGAGTTGTGTAAGCTCTTTGTAGATCTCTGATATCAGTTCCTTATCAGTTTTGTGGAGTGCAAATATTTACTCCCACTCTGCTCTGTGGAGTGTCTTTTTGCCTTGGTTATTGTCTCTTTTGCTGGACAGAAGCTTTTTAGTTTGCTGTAGTCCCAGCTGTAATCTTTTCCTTTATTTTCTTTGCTTCAGTGGATGAGTCTTTAAAGATGTTTCTCAAATGTATGTTATGGAGTGTTTTGCCTGTTTTCTTCTATAAATTGTAGGGCTTCAGGTCTTACATTCAAGTCTTTTATCCACTTTGAGATGATCTTCCTGCATGGTGTGAGGTAGTAGCAGTTCAGTTTTACCAACCCCACTGAAGAGAACAAGTCTCATTCTTGAGTGATATTTTCTTTGAGTATAGAATTCTAGATTAAGTACTATTAAAGTATAGCAGATTATCCTACTATCTTTGATGACCATTGAAAAGTGAGGTACCAACTCACAAGTTGTTAAAAGGTATCCATCATTTTCTCTAGCTACCTTAGAATTCTCTATTTGGTTTTGGTAAACTGTATTTTCACATGACATATTATAACTAGCTGTGATTTAAAAAAACCTAAATTTCATTAGGCTTCTTGAATTTGTATCTTGTATCAAGTCTGAAAATTTGCAGCAGATTTCTTTATATACTGAATCTTCATATTCATTCCTATTTTCTTCTTGAGTTGGTTTAAACATATGTGAGATCTTACATTATAAACTTTATTACTTTCATCTTCTCAGTATTTTACATTTTTTTTTCTTTGTGCTGCATTTTGGATGATTTATTCTGACCTATTTTTAAATAATGCAATTATTTCTTTCTTTACCTATGCCTAATTTGTGGTTAAATTCATCCACTGAGTTTTCAATTTTGGTCTTTGAATCTTATGATTTTAGAATTTCATTTTAGTTTTTATCACATATGCAGTATTGAATTTTAAAATGTTGAGGTATGGCACTTAGTCTCTTGAACATAATATGCAAAATTATTTTATAGCCTGTTTCTGATAATTCTAATATTTGAGGTGCCTTTAATTCTGCTTGGGCTTTTCTTTTTTCTTTTTTTTTTTTTAAACATGGTGTTGATTGCTACTGTTCCTTGTTATCAATGACTATATACTTCAAAAATTATTTATAGAAATAATTTGAAAACTTGGAGTATCTTATCTTCCTTTATAGAACATTTTCATTTGTTTTTGTTGAGTATCTTATCTTCCTTTAGAGAACATTTTCAGTGCCAGGCACTGGGAACTCTACCAGAATGGAAAAGTCTTAAGGTTCATGGTTTCCTGAGTAAAATATTCCCCTGAATTGGGCTAGAGTGACAGAAAATTAGTATTTTGCTTTAAGATGGATATAGTAATTGTTGTGATAAAGAGAAAGAATGTGTAAATACATGCAAGAAAACTTTGTATTACTGAACATTTGTTTTATAGGTATATAATGCAAATTAAATAAATCAACTTACATAGTTCTTCTCTATCAAGAGATTGTGCACCACCTCCAAATAAGCCTTTAAAGAATCCCCTGTTTGGTGCTTCAGGTGTTTCTACAGGAGTGAAGAGTTCACCCAACATTTCCTTTAAAATCAGAACAAATTACAATTGTTAAACTATAATTGTTAAGCTATAATTCATAAATGAATCACTGTAAACTCTTTAACAAGCTTACAATATTACCTGTTGAGATTCACAAATAATTAATAATGAGCACATTTCAAAAGATCATACCAACTTAGCCAACTAACTTGTTACTTTACTTGTAATACATTTCCAGTAAAGATGATATTCCTGCTTCAACAGTAGGATTTTTAATCTTCATGACAAAAATTTCACATAAATCTTATTATCAAGAATTGGTAACTGGATTAATAATTCAGGTTCTTCCTACATTAGAAAGAAGAAAAAACACTAGCAAGTTGAAAAGTCTAGTGTAATGAGGATACCGTTTGGAATTATAACCTTCAACTGAGTCAGAAAATCAGTAATATAAAAAGACATACCAACTTCCTTTTTCATAAACAAATGCTTAGTAGAGAATTATATCAACATTCACACAGAACTTCAGAAATCTGGTAAGAAGATAGCATGACTTCCTTCTACATTATCAGATTTTTTTATAAAATTACTGTCAATATTCTTCAGAGCACAGAATTGATATAAATCAGGAGAAAAGAAAGGTTGGTAACAATTACTGACTTTGTACATAACACATAAAAGAGGAAAGAAGAATTTCTACAAGAAGAATGATAGAAATGTTATTTATAAGGAAGCCTTGAAAAGCTATAGAAGCAAAATATAGAAAAAACTTTGCAACTATATTTCTGCCCTTTAAAGAGAACTAGATTTGGTAAGATACAGTAACAGTTCCAGGTAAGGAATTTCTGCTGTACCCTGGTATCACATTATTATAGCTGGGGCTGAAGCATATATACTTTTAGAATTTCTCCTTCAGGGCTGGGATAAAGTTAATAGAGGATGTCCAAAGATTTTACTTTTAGATGTACCCATATTAATGTTGTCTTTCCAACCAGAATATAAATGGGCAGAAATAAACATTAACACTGCACAAGAGAGTTTTGTTTTGTTTTATGATGCTGAAGTACACTGATACGCTTATATTTAAATTTCTATCACTGCAGTAAAACTGGAATGAAAAACTCTCTGAAATCATAATTAAAAGCCCACGAGATACCTAAAAGTCTTACTAAAAGGTCTTGGATATCCCAAGTGGGCTGATATCCCATGAGTATAAGGGATGGACAATATAAGGGTCCTTAAAAAATTTTTATGTCTGAATAATAGTAATATTTCTGTTATTACCTGAAGGTTTTCACAGGTCTCTTGACTATAAGTCAGTCTCTGGATTTCTGTAGGTGAAACGAGATATGATGCTTGTCCATTGTTGGTGAAGCAGAAAGTTCTGGCTATCCGCATGTTTGTAAGAGGCAAGTAGTACATATCCAATAGAGGTCTTAAACTTGGCAAACTTGAGGGAAAAAATTAAAGACTGGTTAATAATAAACAAGTTAGATTTTACTCTTGAACAAAGTTTTATAGAAGGCAAAATGGCAGGGATGTTATAAACCTTATGATTTCGTTTACTTGAGTAGAAGATAACAACTGATTTGTATTTACCATGTACTTGCTTATTATATTACTTGAATGAAAATAAATCCTCAGTGTATAAGACTATAAACAAATAAAAACATCTATTTGAAACCAAATGTAATTCGGTAACATGTTTTGGGGAGGACATGCAGTATCTGTATTTAAAAAACTGTAATTCTACCTGAAAGTCATAATATGTCCATTGGCACAGAAACAGGCAAGGCAGATACTATTGCTCAATGTTACAATATCTCCGCGCAGCACAAATGAGGTCTCTGTAATATTTTGCTTATAAGCACAGTTCTGAGTTGGCAGTGAGATTACTTTTGCTTGCTTTTCAGAACATATCACTGCATACTGATTTTCACTAATTTCCTGAGAAGAGGAGGGAGATACGGAGACAGGCCTTCGTTTTTTCAATTTCTCCTTTTCATCTTTTTCTTCAGGAACGTTGGGTTCTCTCCAGGGTTCATATGCAGGAGGCACTAAGCAGCCTGTAGTATCCAGGAATGCCATTCTCAGGATTGCCCCTTTTAACCTTAATATAGTTCCTAAAATAGGTAAATTCAGTAGATAACAGGCATGTTAATCCACAAGGTAAATATGTTTATTCCAACTTAGACACATGATAGACACTCAAAAATATGTAGACTGAACTGAAATGATATAATGACTTACTGACAGGATACAAACTTCATTATTTGAATTCGGAAAGAGCATTACATGTCCCAAATAGGTAAGTGCCGCCAAAGAAATAAAAGCTGGGGCATCTAGAACAATGTCTTTTCTCACACCTGGTGCGTGCAATACCGCCAAGTATGACTGCAAGTGGATGGCAACAAGAGTTACACCATTTCATATTTTATTGAGTAAAATATCTCAATAATTTAAAAATACCAATAACTTGCAAAATGATAGCAGTTTAAGCTAAATAAAATGTGGTTAAATTTCACTTGATTCTTTTTAACTTTTGGTAAAAAAAGTAGGGTACTGGTGAAACCTACTATATAATAAGAACATATTTATAAGCAAAATCAAATTTTTCTACCTAGTTCAGCTATAAATTAATAACAGAAAACAGAATTCTCAATTATTTCCAGACCCAACAGACTGTATATATATTTGCTAAAATTCAACCTCAAAATTTACTTTCAAGTTACTTTCCCCTAATATTTCAAGTAAGAAAATAGTCTATTTTAAAGCTTAACATTTAAAGTTTAAAAACAGCCAAGTGTATACTTTTTAAAAATACACTTTTGGGCCTCTGGTGGCGCAGTGGTTGAGCGCTGGGCTGCAAAGCTGTCCGCAGCCTCTGCAGTGCCGGCTCGATCCCCGGCCACCGGCGAGGGTCCCAATGGCGCGAAGACCTCTCCTGCCGTTCCCGCAGCTCCCCTTGGCAGTGTATTTCGTCAGTCTGCCTGTTCTGTTCCTCACTCTGGCTCTGGTGAATTCTCTCACCCTCCTTCATTTCTGACTGTACCCAGTGCTTGTATAAACAAATCTTTTTAAAAAAATACACTTTTTTGTTTCCTCCCTAAATATGTATCATCCACTAACTTACAGCAAATAAAGAGACAAATGGATGGTGAAGTTAAGAATTGGACTTTTAGAGTACCTGCACCCCTATGTTTATAGCAGCACTATTTACAATAGCTAAGCTTTGGAAACAACCCAAATGCCCAAAAACAGATGACTGGATCAAGAAGATGTGGTCCATATACACCATGGAATATTACTCAGCATTCAAAAAAGATAAACACATGCAATTTACAGCAACATGGATGGAGCTGGAAGGGATCATGCTCAGCGAAATAAGCCAGAAAGAAAAAGAAAAATACCAGATGGTCTCACTCATAGCAGGAATCTAGAAAACTTAAATAAGGGACCAGGAAAAACAATCAACAAATAACTATGAACCAGAGATACTCTATGGTGGGTGGGGGGCGGGGAAAGGAGGGTTTGGGGTCAAAATAAGGGGGTTATAATTGTATGGGGAATATAAAAAAATAAAATTTAAATAAATAAATAAATAAAAAGAATTGGACTTTTAATGGTGAACTTAATATGGTTTGTACACATGTTGACTCTCAACAATACACACCTGAAACTTTTATGATGTTAGAATGCAAGGCTGTTTCAATAAAAAAAGGTATCCTGGAATGCATTATTAGAACTTTTTCCCATTTTAGACATGATTCCAGAGTTAAAAAAAATACAAAACCTAAATGTTATATAAGTGAATAATAATCTAAAATCTTATTTCAAGCATTTTTCATTAAAAACATACAACTATACCCAATTAGGTTACATTTTAGAATTTTCAGATCTATTAAAAAATGAAAAGCACAGGTTTCCATTAAGTTCAAGTAAACAAGCCTTTATTGTAAGTGCAGCACCAGAGCATACATACCACTGGGGGACACAATCACCGGCTGAAGAAGCCTCTGCTCTCCTCCTGGCGGAAGGTTCAACGCAATGACAAGCACTGTTCCCAAGGTGGTACCAACCCACAGACACGGGGACGGGGACGAATCTGCTTTTCGAGTAAAAGTTTCACAGAAATGAAGGGCAGAGATAGCTTCTCGAGATTCTTTATCAATGCTGGTTACACTTGAACTTCGTGACCGGCTGAAGGAATTATCTTTTACATCTGAAATGATTAAAAATGTTGTGGATTATGTAAATCACAGATTATCACATTTCATTTTTGCTATAAGCTTGGTCAGAGTCTGCAAAAAGCAACATCTACTGTAGACTTAATTTTAATTTCCTTTTAATTGAATATAAAATACAAACGGACAAATCACTTTCCTCAGAACTGAGCTGGGTGTACCACAGTGAATTTTTGGGAGTGTGATCTTTGTGGTTTTGGTGCAGCTCTGTCAGTCTACTGGCTGTTTTCTAATCTTAGCTTTTACCACTTTTTTTCATAGCTGCTGTTTCTTTTGGTAATACAATTCATGATGGGGTAGAACTAGAAAAAGGTGGGCATTTTCAATTCTCTGCACTTTAAAAGATGCATTTAGAAGTACTCTGATTCTACCTTCACATTGATGGTGATGTACCATTTTTCTTTTTTCCCCAAAATCTGTCCAGTATGAAAGATTTTGTTTCTCTTGAATTATATTTCACCTAAAAACCTAAGGTGTTATTCACATTTTTCATCATTAACTGGTATCTGCCTCATACTTAACTTGATACCAGGTATATTTCCTTTACCAGGCTTTACTTGTAATGATAGGGATACTTATAAATTATATTAATACATCCTCTTTTCTTTTCTTTAGCTACTTTTTTCTCTGTGGCCAATATCAGGTCTGTCTGAAGCTCTAGCCTCTTTTCTCTTGAAATAGTATTTCCAAATGCTTATTGGAATTTTCTCCCTGTTATGTCTGAGTATGCAAAATCAAAACATATCATTTGCCCAAAAGCACTTAATTCTTCCAATGGCACAATTTAACGGCCTCTGGTTCTCCTAGGGAACAACACTTAAAATGAGCTGCAGTTTCGGTTTTTACCTTTTACCTTACATACACCTGATAGGACATCAGGCTCTGAGTTATTCTGTTCCAATGTTCTATTTTCTTCCTTTCTCTTAGCCTATGTTCAGGCCTTCATCATCCTTCATGTTGATTACTGCACAAGTGATCTCCCTACCTTCACTCTCATAACTCAATTATATTTCATAAGCGATGGCTATAAATCTATAACCTCTACTTTGAAAATCCTCAGGGGGTCCTCTTTACCTATTTTATCATGCTTATAATCATACGCAAGTTTGTATGACTACAAAATATCTTCAATATACCTTCCTTGCCTTATCTTCTATATACCTTCCTTGCCTTATCTTCCAATTCTGTCTGCTTCACACTTCACTGTTGGAAGCAAACAAAAACCACTCACTCTTCTTCATATATACCCTGCACTTCCCTTTTAGGGTTTGCCTGTGATTTTCTTTCTGATTCATGCTCTGGTCTCACCCTTTTCTCTACCTATAGACAATATTTATTTTTCATTTCAGGTAATAGCTTATTTATGAAGTTTAACCAGATTCTTACAGCCATAGTTTTTCTCTTTTGAACCCCTACAGCTTTTTATCTCTTGCATGGCACAAATAGTACATTTGTTGTGCAGATATTTCTGACTTGTTATCAGTGTTGCTTTAAAGTGACTATGCTTTTCGAGCTATGTTATTTTGATGCCCTGAGGAATTTAGCATGGTGCCTTGCATGTAAAAATACTGATATATTATCTGCTGAAGATAGACATATAGATGAGCGTATCTTAAACCAGTAGGTTTCTGCTGTACCACTAGATTATACTAATTTTTTTAGTAGCATCTAAGATTCATATCTAGTAAGTTTTCCTTAAATCACATACTTTCAATGATATCATGAAAAGAAATGACCACAATGTTGTGAAAAGTAAAACATATTCCAGTCTTCTAAATTAATTGTATTTTACTAAATGAAAAGGTGTAATTAAATCCCACCAATATACCTCAAAAAGCTCTCTGTATACAATTTAGTTTCATATATTGGAAAATACTACCCCCCAATAATAATTATATGCAAACTAATTTGTTTGTAACTAGGCACTGAAAATAATAAAGCTACTAGCTGTAACAACAGCATGGGTCATATTCAACTACAGTTTCTGAAAATGTGTTTCTTTTGCCAGATTGCATTTCCTATTAGAGATTGTGTGTAGTCTTTATGATTATGCATAAAGAACAGCTATTACTGGATAAATGTGTAATACGACACTGATTCCAAATATTAACTCTTTATCACTTCCAACAATAACAGAAGTTTTAAAATAATTTTTCAATGAGAAAATATTTGCTTCTTAAATAAAACACACAAATAAAATACATATATTTCAGTTGTGACCTAGTGATAAAACTGGAAATCTATGATACACGATTTAATAAATATGCATTTCAGTGTAAATTAGCTTAGTAATTATTAAAAACTCTTACTGATGTACCTATTAAAATTCACAACAATCTATACTTCAAATATTAGTATTAACCACAGGTTAAATAAAGGATTTTAATTTAATGGATTGACTTAACTATATGAAATTTATAAACTACAACTGCATTTTATTATATGACTTACCTATAAATTTAGATTACCAAAGAAACTCCAAAGGTTAGATCAATTTGAGAAATTAATCAGAATTAAATCTGGACTTACACAGTAAGGCTGCTTATTTTATCTGACTAAATCTGTTCAAAAGCAAGTTAGAATATTCAGCATTTCAAGAACTACAACTGCCACTTACTGCTATTAAATTATATGTTGTGGGTATTTGTATCTTGAATTTTAGGAATTGGGTCGGCTAAACAAATGGAATAGAAATTTTAATTCTAGTATAAAGATCAGAAATAAAAATGGCTATCACTATGTAAATCCTACTATGTGTCAGACAATACCAAATACTTTCATTTAACATTTATTTAACACATATAATAACCCGGAAAAGTATCATCATTAATAATATAAAAAATAGTAAAATACAGGTTTAGACAGGGTAAGTTCATTGCCAAGGACAAAGGTCATGGAAGAATTGGATTTGAGCCCATGTCCAAGGCAAATAAAGCTTTAGACAGATATGGGCTAGTCAAAATCAGCAACAGCGTATGGGTAGAAGGTTTTGGTTATTAATAAGTTTTAAAGTTCAATCTTTAGATACCAAACAAACAAATCCTTCAACATGTAGTCTTTCTAGCAAGATCTCTAACAATATTACCATACCCAAGGTTCCTAGCCTGTGACTCACTGAATCTGGAATGATGAAACTATGGTCAAAGTACAAAGCTGCATAACTTCTTCAGAAGCAAAAGTGAATTTTATTCACAAAAGCTTCCAAAACTGCACGACAGTCCAACAGCCTCAGCTGCTTTAGTAACATCTGGCAATTTGAGTCTCTCAATCTAATTTTATTTCTGATTGCTCACCATCAATGTGAAATAACTGCCAGTTAAGAATTTCTATCAAAAAATAATTCAGCGTCATGATGAATTAAAGGGAAATTACTTTGGTAACATGGAGATTCCTTCAAGATCTATGTGAATCAAAGTTATGATTGGCTTAGGACATTCTAATACATAGGCAGACAAGGTAAAACATAAATAAACATGATCTATAAAAGCATGAACTGCATACTTAAATTACATAATTTACATGTGTGAATTTTTTTTTTACTGATTTTCTAATTTAGTAATTGGCAATTCTATTAATCTTAAAAGTTCTGTACATGTGTTCTTTTAGAATTTTAAGATACTAAAAGGCATGAAATAAGTTTTACTAGCAGTATTTAATGTTATTGATATTATGGGCTTCTTCGAGAGTTTGATGAAAACTCTGGATCCACTTGATGGGAAAAACTGAGCCTCAGATACAGTTGGGTTCAAATGGCATCTTCTAATTTTATAGTGAAGGGAACTATGCCCTAATCAAAATATGTTATTATACATTCTAGAACTAATTCCTGTTCTCTTATATCAGTGATACTAAAGGATTTTCTACTGAATTGGCTTTCCTATTGTCAGGAATGGAACCTTTTATTGATTGCAGAGGAGAAAATTATGCCTACTTACTCATAATTGCATACTTTTTATCAGAATAACTGAGATAAGACTATGATTTGGAAATGCTAAAATTAGTATAGCAAAGTGAACCAATACCCAAGTTTATACTATGCATCAAAAGACAGTCAACAAGTTTCAAGAATAGTGAGATGAGGTGGGTGAGCAAATGCAAGGGAGAAAATTAGTTGCTTCTAAGTGACAAGTGGGTGAAATCTTTACAAAATTATACTTCTCATTCAATTAAAAGCAACAGTAATTTGTGAAATTAAATAAAAAGGAGTTTAAAAAAGAAACCTTGCTTTGTTTGTATTAAATGAATTTATTTTTATAAATTAAAATGTCTATTAAAATGTCACTTGTTTCTATCCTAGGATGCAAGGGAGTCTTTTTGAGTTGGATACAAAGCAAAAAGAATGTGTGAATATATTCACTCTGCTTTCATAACAGATCAGTTACATAGAAAGTGTTATAGAAAAAAATTTCCCAACTTACCACCAAAAATTAATAACAATTTTTGAGATTCATTGGAATAAAGAAAATAAGTAATGTTTTGAAATTACATATTTATAAAAAAGTTTTTAGATAGTTAAATGGGATATAACATCTTTTTTTTTTTTTTTTTTTTTGGTGGGACCCTCGCTGGTGGCCGGGGATTGAACTGGTGGGGCAGAGGCTGCGAGCAGCCTCGCAACCTAGAGCTCAACCGCTGTGCCACAAGGGGAGGCCCGGGATATAATTTCTTTTAATAGATTAATTTCTTTTAATAGAAATTAATCTAAAATTACAGATTTTAATCTGAAACTAAATACTGTTTAGGTATAAAGTATGAAAGAACTGAGGAGATGTGTTATTTTGGTTTGCTTGAATTTATAATTGCCTTTTATAATTTTCAGATGGGATTCTAAAAGCTATTAATTTGCAATCATCTTCATCATTTTAAATTTGATTTCCATCCAATAATAGAAATGGCACTAGAACTTTGGTGGTTAGTACATATACAGAGGTATGAGCTATACTTCTGAAAATTATATAGTATTATAAATCAAAAGCAAATCAATAAAATTTTATCAAGAAAAATTTGATTTCAGATGAAATTGTAGCCTATAGTAAAAATTATTTGATTTCCTTGTTTTCCCATTAAAGGGAGCTTATTAATGACTTTTATTTTACTTACCTAAATCAGGCTTTAGGTCAGTAGGCAAGCTTAACTTCCTTGACATCTTTGCTGAAAAATAAAATGCATTTTTAAGTTTTTGCTCATACTTATCAAGATAGAAGCGAAAACTTTCATTATTAAATTTGGATGTTAACAATGAAAATATGGGGTCCTCCCTGATGGTGCAAGGAGTTAAGACACAACCTATGAAGCTATCCGCAGCCACTACAGCACTAGTTCGATCTCCAGCCAGGAAGCTACCCACATGGTGCAGCAGACCTCTCCTGACTCGCCCACTGCTTCTCTCAGCAGTGTACTTTAGTACATCTGCCTGTTCTGCTCCCCACTCTGTCTCTGGTGAATCCTCTCACCCCCCCTACACCTCTGGCCTGTACCTCAGTTCTTGTATAAATCAATCTTTAAAAAAATGAAAATATGACTGATAATGTTATTGGAGGACAGTAAATATTATTTTCAATTTTTTAAAATGTTTGTACTTACTTAGTGTATTGTGTGTGTTTTTGAAGTTCTTCAAGAAAGGCTTTTAAACTGTTAAGTATTTCTTAGATTCACAGGAAAGGTTTGGGCTTTCTAAGAAAAGCGGTCACTTCTCAAAGGAAGATATTGCACGGAAGGACAGTAGAGACTTAAGACTTAGTCTTGGTAGTGATGCAGTACAATCTTACAGTTCCTCGTTTTCATATCTATTTGGCTTATCTTTTAAAGTAAATACACAGGACAAACCTAGATCTACAATCAAATTAAAGTACCTGGTTACATCATAAAAATACTTGGCTCAAACATTTCTTGATATAAATTAACATCTCTACATTTTGGTAAAAAAAAATAAAACCTTCAAAGTTATGCTGATTCTAAAACTACAGTATTTAACAAAAATGCAAAGTATAGGATTTTTCAATTTCTATTTATTATTACAGTATTTTTAAAAGTATACATATTAACTTATTGGAATTCACTTTCCATCCTCAAAATTAGTTATTGCCTTAATTGAGAAAGTGATTTAAAGTCGAGTTGTTTAACTATAGTGTTAGTGGTATGCATGCGTAAAAGAATAGAACTTCCTTCAGGAAATTCTGAAAAACATTTGTTAATCAAAGAATGTGTGTATCAGGTTAAACTTTGAACTGTTAGTAGATATTTAAAGCACAGACCCTGCTAGTCCATAAGGGCGCTGGATAATCAAAGAGAAATCCAGTCATAGTAACATAACTTCCATATCTAAAAAAATGACAAATTCAGTGTTAGGAAAAAAGGCATTAAAGCAAATTAGTTGGCGAGGAATATGAAAAAATCAAGTTTTCACTTCTAAGCTTCATTAATCTAAGAAGCATCTTTTAAAAAAAACCTAAAAACCATCTATAGTGATGTAAACCAATGTTACCTCAATAAAAGTGATACAACTTCAAGCTTCAAATATGAGAAAAGTTGTATATTTGAACATTGTTTAAAAAAAAAGAATCTAATGTAAGAATCTGTCTCATTCCATTTTCATGCAGACTTAATCTCATTTAAAAGATAAAAAGTAATGCAGAACCAAAGTAGTCGAATGAAATTTGACTGATCTCATATACATGGTTGCTGTTGTATTTGATATCTAATTAACCTTAAAATTAGAAGATTCTATACCCCCCAAACCATCCTCTAAAATGCAATAGTAAGCACCTTTGAAAGAATTCAGAGGATTTCACCAAACTATTACAGATGCAATGTACACAGACTGACAAATAATATTTAAACAATGTACATGCTAGGTGAAGTAGAAAATCATTCTGGTGCATTCTAAAGGCACTCTTTCAGAGTCAGATGATTTGGACACCTCTCTAGGATCCCACTAGTCTGATCTGATCAAGTTATTCTAAGACTTTAGGCCCAGTGCTTCTCAAACTTGAATATATACAAATCACCTGGGAGGTCTTGTTAAAATGCATATTCCAACTCTGTGTTCCTGAACTGGAGTCTGAGAGCCTGCACTTCTAACAAGCTCCCAGGAGATACTGATGCTGCAGGTTGTGGATCACACTTTGCACAGCAAGTTCTCTAGACTAAAAGCAACTTCAGTGTAGGAACTAAGACTAAGTCATCAAACTCAGTATGTATACACAGGAAGTACATAAATATTTTTGTGACCAAGTTTCTATTCTAGATTGATTAAATCTGCATATGAATCCACTTAAACTACTAAGTGTGCAACCTTAGGAAAATCACTTCGCCTCTCCAAAGAGCAAATTACCTCACGTGTAAAAGGAGTCTAGATAATAAGGCCAGTTGCGAAGACTAAATAAGATGAGGTAAGCAAAGTACTGAGCATAATACTAAACATAAAGTATGGCTTTGAAAAATGTTAATTATAATTTATGTTAATAGTAAATGACAAGTGTAAACAAATGCAATATGAAATTTATCAACTGGAAGCTATAAAATGTTATTAATATTTATAACTAGCCCACTGTTCTATTCTAATTCTAGCATATTCCAAGTAGGTAAAACAAGAAAATGGAAAAAATCTTCAGGGCAAAAGTACATGATGGAATGCACACTTTAAATTTAAACTCTTAAAGATCATTTCTAAAACTAAATTCAATATATAACTAAACATAAAAATAGAAATATCCTCAATGATTTAAAAGACACATCAAGCTTATCACTCATTAATGTGTCTTAAGATAGCCACTAGAGGGGCCTCCCAGGTGGCACAAGGGTTAAGCACAGCATTGTGAAGCTATCTGCAGCCTCTGCAGCATGCGTTTCATCCCTGGCTGGCCAGGGAGCTGCCCACATGGCACAGCAGACCTCTCCTGTCTCACCCGCTGCTTCCATCAGCAGTGTATTTCAGTCAGTCTGCCTGTTCTATTCCCTACTCTGTCTGTGGTGAATACTCTCACCCCTCACACCTCTGGCCTGTATCCCAATTCTTAAAAAAAAGATAGCTACTAGAAATTTCTTTATATAACTTCTCAAATATTTAAAAATTTAACTTATCCTCCCATAATTTTTTTTCTATTACTAACTTTCCTTATCATATAGAAAACTAAATACAATGAACCAGCTTTCAAGTGATTTTTTTTAGTTTGTCTAATTTTGCCATTTTATCATAACACTGAAGGTTGAAATTACACACAAGCCACTAGATTTTCTAAAACAGTGCCTTAATTTAAATATCACAAAATGATTTCATTATGGAGTCTATTATTTCTGCTTGAAACACTTTGTAACTGGAAACCCACACCCCACCACCAACTCAATATTCAAAGGGTAGACATTTCAGTCACATTACTGTTACACTTGGATATATTTTTAAGCAACCTCCTTGATTATAGATCTTGAAATGTGTGAAGATTAACTTTTGTTATTTTGTATAAATTATAGCTATCAATATAAAAAATACAAAAACTAAGAGTTTTGATAAGTAGAGCAAAATTTTTCTTACAAGTAGATATAAGGACTGGGACAGAGGAACAATTAACTACCTATTAAATATTTATTGGGCAAATGTCCTTCCTCCCATATATGTGCATTTTCCCTTTAATTTTTTAATTATGTGCTCTTTACAGGAAATTAGGATAATATGGAGAAAAAATAAGATCATTAAAAATAACCTAATCAAGAGACAACATATTTGCATATTTCCTGCCAGTCATATTTTTAAAGGCCATTTTTATTTATATAGTTGAGAGTAATAATAATCAAATCTGCATAGTGCTTTTCTCCCACTATTACATTTTCTCTTATCAACTATTACTACATTTTAATGGGTACACATTTATTTACATGAAGTTATTGTTTTCCAACTTTCATACACACACATATCAATATAAGTATCTGCATACATATTGCCAGTACAAGGTCTTCTAAAGTCAAACTTCAGAAGACAGATAAAAAATACTGTCTTCAGGTTTCATTTCCTTTTCCTTTGTAGCCTCCATCTAGGGATGCTAAATCCACTCAGCAAGTTTAGCCTTTCATTAATTTAACTTTTTAGTAGTAGAATTTATATTTCACTCATTATAAAATTTCTATTTTCTTTAATATTCTCCATTTGTACACTCATGATGATAATCTTTTCTCTTTAGTATTTGAATACATTATAGCAGCTGCTTAAAAGTCATTGGTTGCTAATTTCAATAACTGTCAACTTCCGGTCTGTTTCTGTTAATTTTATTCTTATTTTGCATTACACTTTCTCACTTTTTATGTTGAATATTTTAGACTCTGATTAAATGCTGGTGTTGTCGATAATATGTTGAATGGAGTCTGGATTATAGCAAAGTTATATTATTAACCTTAATAAGATTGTTTTGTTCTGCCAATTAGGTGCATCCTTTTGATTTTATCCATTAGCATGGTTCTAGTTAGTTTGAACTTAGTGCTAAGGTATGGCTTTTAAACTAAGACATGATCCTTACTCTTGATTAATTGCTTTTTTGGGATAGCAATAGAATGACCAATGTGAGTACCAATGTCTATACCAGCAACATATTCTAGGGTTGCAGGCTGCTGGCATCATGCTCAGCTCTCAGCCTTGCAATACATGATAACTATTAGGTCTTGTGGAATCTTGCTCAGTTAATAGACAACCCAACCCTACTGGAAGGAACTGGGTTGAATCCCAGTCTTCAAAGAATTCCCTTTGAGCAGTTCCCTCCTCTCTAGCACCCTGCCCCACAAATTCCAGTCACTCTAGCACTCCAGTCTTTGCCTCCTTAGGTTAATGAGAACACTGGGGTTCTACCCTTCCTTCACTGAACAGTAAAGTATTCTCTGGCAGAAGCTGGGGAAGTTGTAGTGTCCATCCTTTCCCTTTTTCTCAAAGATGACAGTCCTGGACTGCCAGTTGCTCAGGGACTAGAAAGAGGAGTCTCATATATCTGGACTAGTTTTACAGTTTTCCTCTGTGGGAAGCTAAGCCCCAAATCTAAGGTCTAAAATTGAAATTTAAACTGCATAGATTCATTTATGTGTGACTACTTCAGGGGAATATACTTGTTTTTGAGTTTTGTTTAGTCAATACTCTTGACAAGCAGCCCACAAGTGGCAGATCCATTTCTGGA